TTTAACACGTTTTATAAGATATATTCACGTACGGTCTGATGAAGCCACCAATAATTCCTCAGTCTAATAATGCAATGAAGCGGAATTAGAGAAAAGTTATAAAAAGAGTTGTTTTAATACTAGCAAATATAAGTGTTTTAGAAAATAAATTGTATAGCTAAACTGCTAATTTTATGAATTATTTAAAAAATTTGTTTTAGTGCAAGTATACGTAGTCCGTGAGTACTGCATTTCCCTTGAACTATCGTTTCAATTCCACGTTCCGCGGGGCATCTCCAATCGTATCTTATCGCTTGGCCTTTCGGCGTATTCGACACCTGGTCACACTGCTGGCTAATTCCTTTGTGCGTGCTGTACACTTTTCGGGCGTCTGCTGGAAAAAAAAGAGTGAAAAACTGACAAACTGTGCTCGACTTTGAAGTTGCTTGCGTTTTACACACAAACAGTACAATAATGGCGGATCTAAACGACTCCAACGGAAACTACGACGATGGCGACGAGGTGAGTTACCAAACTGCGCTTATTTTTGTATAACAGCGCGTGGGAAAGTGCAAACTGTCGACGCCGACAAATTTGCAGGTAATGCAGCACGCGGCTTTTTCACTGGCTGTAGAATTGCACAGGTCTTTGATCTTTGTCCGAATTCAACCGGTTATTGACACGGCAGCAGTTTAATGGCCCCCTTTTTTGGGGAAAATATATACTTAATTGTTGAGGAAAACGCGTTACCGGCTGCCGAAAAAAAAAGAGAACGAAAACACATACACACATACACGGGAGAGCTGTCATGGCGGTGCAAATAGTAAAAAGAAAATGGCGGGCGGCGTTTTTCTCGGCCAGGTACCGTAATTACAATCATAAACAATTGCGATTGAATGTCACGTTCTATCTATAACCCATGTTTATCTTCGGACGACTCAATGACTTTATTTTTAATCTTTCTTTGCCTTATGTCCTTGGAAAACAAAAGGTTAGTGGTAACACTTATGACTCCAACCAAACAACCTTTAAAAAACTTAAAAAATTTTTGTCGATAATAGAAACTAAATAAAATGTTAGGATGGATATATAACACTAGTTTACAAAAATAAAATTTTTTCGAGTTCAGCTTAAAAACCATTTTTTCTAGTCCAATCGAAATCTTATGTTAAAACCCCATAAATATTCAAATGATTTTAAATTTATTGAAACATGTTTATATTTCAACAAAGATTAATGACAATGGAGAATAATTCTAAACAAAAACGAAAAATTTCAGAAAATCATTCGTTAAAAGGTGATCGTAAAAACTGTAAAACTTAAGACGCTTACCAAACCTCCTAAAATCTGTATGAAATAGTAAATTATAGACGATAACCACGTTCTCTCGCATCCTATGGTTCTGGGATTTTTTCTCAAAATGTATTTATTGAAAGGTAATTTATACCAAACAATACAAAGTTAAACGGTCAATCACTACTTAAGCATTCCTGTTTATGCAAATTATTTGAAACTCCTTTACTCACCCCAAAAACACTCAAATTTCGTCCACAGATCACCGAGCCAGAGCAGCTGCGCAAACTGTTTATCGGCGGTCTGGACTACCGCACCACGGACGATGGCCTTAAAGCCCACTTCGAGAAGTGGGGCAACATCGTGGACGTGGTGGTGATGAAGGACCCCAAGACGAAGCGCTCGCGTGGATTTGGGTTCATCACTTACTCCCAGTCATACATGATCGACAATGCCCAGAATGCGCGTCCCCACAAGATCGATGGACGCACCGTGGAGCCCAAGAGGGCTGTGCCGCGCCAGGAGATCGATGCCCCGAATGCCGGGGCCACGGTGAAGAAGCTCTTTGTGGGCGGACTCCGCGACGATCACGATGATGAGTGCCTGCGCGAGTACTTCAAGGACTTTGGCCAGATCGTCAGCGTGAATATCGTGTCCGACAAGGATACGGGCAAGAAGCGCGGCTTCGCTTTCATTGAGTTCGATGACTACGATCCCGTGGACAAAATCATCCTCCAGAAGAACCACACCATCAAGAACAAGAGCCTGGACGTGAAGAAGGCGATTGCCAAGCAGGACATGGATCGCCAGGGCGGTGGTGGTGGCGGCGGCGGAGGAGGCGGTGCTCCGGGCGGCGGACGTGGCGGTCCTCGAATTGGCGGACGAGGTGGTCAGGGCGATCGCGGCCAGGGCGGCGGCGGTGGCTGGGGAGGCCAGAGCAGGCAGAACGGTGGCGGCAACTGGGGCGGAGCCGGCGGCGGTGGCTTCGGCAACAGCAGCGGCAACTTCGGAGGCGGCGGTCAGGGCGGCGGCGCGGGCGGTTGGAACCAACAGGGCGGCGCTGGCGGTGGCGGTCCATGGAACAACCAGGGTGGCGGCAACAGCGGCTGGAACAATGGTGGCGCTGGAGGCGGCTACGGCGGCGGGAGCAGCAACGGAAGCTGGGGCGGCAACGGCGGGGGTGGTGGCTTCGGCAACGACTACCAGCAGAGCTACGGCGGTGGTCCGCAGCGCAACAACAACTTTGGCAGCAATCGCCCGGCTCCGTACAGCCAAGGAGGCAGTGGAGGTGGCGGTGGAGGTTTCAATAAGGGTAAGTTTGTCAAACATGGTCAATATGAGCTTCAAGTTTAGAAATCGGTATGGAAATATGTATATAGACTGGAAAATGTTACATTGTTACATTTTCCCAGTTGATAGACAAATTTGAAATCGTACCTTAAGCCATCATAAAGATTACCGTTGAACCTTTATGATATACAAATATAACCTCCCCTTTTCACCTCTGTCTTTTCCAGGTAACCAGGGTGGAGGACAAGGATTCGGTGGCAACAGCTACAACACAGGAGGCGGCCAGGGTGGAAACATGGGCGGCGGCAATAGACGTTACTAGACAAGGTAAATATATATAGACTGTGCAGGACAGGTCCTCCTAACCCACAGTATGTTTGAAAACGCTCGGATCTTTGCTCGTTGTTGGCAGCTAGTTGGAAGCCAAACAATCAATCTTAATCAGAACGAATCGAAGCTAATGCAAAATTTTCTCCTTTTTCGCAACTAGGTAAACACACATAGAGAGAGAGAGTGTGTCAGTTCAAGCTAGACGACAAACAGGCAGTCTAGGCAGGCAGATGCAGAGGCACAAGCACAATCACAAGCTCAGGCACAGGCAGGCAATCAGTAGCAGGTGTGTGTCAGACCAGGCAGACAAGATCAGGCCCAAGAAATCCAGATCCAGAACCAGAACCATGCCGAGTACAAGTGCAAGCAATAAGTTTTTAGGCCAGCCCAAAACCCAAGCTGGCCAAAACCCAAATCTACTTGCCAAAAAGCAACAAGCAAGCAAACAGTAACAAACAGCCAAAAGCGAAACGAATCAACGCCACTTGTCCACAGTTTGAATGCTGCTATCTCTCTTTTGTAACCATTAATTCGCTGATCAATTCATGTTTAGGATGTTAAGAACCCTGAACGCTTAGTTTTAACTATATTAACAAAACAAACAAACTAAAAGAAACGAAACGAAAAGAAAGAAACCAACCAACAAAATATAAATTAAACAATAATTTTATTTTATAAAATTGACTATCAACAGAAACCGATTGAGCGACGAATTCTCATTGAGAACCAGTTGTGTTATAAGGGTGTTTATGAGGTAGAGTACCTTGAACTTTATTCATGTCGGGATGGATGGCCCACAGCTAGATGTATTTGCAATTGATTTTATTTTGTAGCGATCCAGCGAAATGTAAGAAATCAAATAGAACCATATTTTGTAATCTCTTTTTTGTACAACTAAGAACTTTTACACATACTATATGATTTATTCCTGAAAAGCGATCGCCGCGCTGTGTCCTAACAAGCGAAATCCATATATACGAAACATACCACTCTGTTAGCCCCTAAGAAGTAGATGCTACGCTAAGCCAGAAAAAAAAAACCACTAAAAACAAACAATTTACAAATGTTCTGTAATTAGTTCGTTTCGAGAGGAACGAAAGCGACGAGACACAAGCAAAATAAAGTCCTAACCAATGTTACCCACCCGAAACGATCACAGGAGCAGAGTCCTTGCGAAAGGGAGCAGGAGGAGCAGCATAATCCGGGTTTCCGATCCATCCCAGGTCGGCAGGGTAGCGAGCAGGGCTAGTTACCGTCATTAGAGACCCCCAATTAACCCCCGGGCCAACCGCGTACTAATGCACTGCCTATTTCTTTGCAAGACTGGCCGGGCTACGGACGGATGCTCCCGAGCCGGATACGAAAGCTGCGCTGCGCTTCGCACCGGTTCGTTTCCCACCAAATATAAGTTCTAAATTGTAGCCGGTAGAGCGGAGCCTCTTTGGACTCACTTTGGACTTTGGTCGGTGGCTGTTCCAGCTGACTTGGTTGGCACTTGGTACTCGGAGGTAAGTGAAGGTAACTTGTCGGTATTTTACTAACAGTTCCTATATTTCTGAATTTCTCAATAAAGAACTAATTATTTTATCAAAATTTCAACCTGTTTTTCCTTGGGATGGGACATAGTTTTCCAGGGTTTGATAAATTCTTCAGAACCCACTGCACTCAGAAAAAATAAAGGTTATTATATAGAATTAAAAAAAGAACCTTGAAAAACTAGGTAAGGGATTTGGTACGATAAGGTTGAACTTCATAAAAATATCATCATTCACTGCTTTGAAGGAGCGGCTTACTTTAAGCGGGCCTAGGAGAATTGGTCTGCCGCCACACAAACAGTGTGGGATATCTGTTGGTACTGAGCTGTCCTGTTTAAATCACTTAAAGAGACGATTGACAGTCGCATCACTTCGAAAGTATTGTATTTTATATGTTAATATATTAGAAGATATTTCTTTACATTTATTTTCGGGGTGTCATAACATCAGTTGTTTAAAAATCCTTCTTAATGTTTCCATGGGGCTCGAGGGACAACTACGGTGATAAGATCAGCTGGATGAGCAAGCAGAAAGAGAAATGGTCCTACAAATTAAAGGGGTTATAGGTTATAGGGTTCAGAAAGTCTGACCAACTATATTGATAATCGATTTGCAGCCTAGTGTTGAATCACATAATATTGTCGAACTATCCTTTTTTCTCGTGCCTATGTGGAAACAGAAGCTTCTGGATTTTTCCGATAGTCCATATCTAAGTAATTGACATTTAAATTTTTTGCCTATCATTCAAACTTTGGTCGGGTTAAATTCTTAGCCGTAACTTGGACTATTTTAATTTGATATTCTTGCAAAAAATGGATACAGAGAACTGTACCACAACGTCTTGCCTGCCGGAGGTAAGATCATCAATGGTATCCTTAGGTCCTGGTCTAAAAAACCACTCTTCTTGGCAGTGCAAAACTGCCCGGAACAGCGGCTCCTCCAATCCGGTGTCCGCTGCGAGCAATAATCCTTTGCCTAGCGCCAACGGGGGAAATGATGCCGACGAGCATTTGCGCAAGATCTTCATTGGAGGCCTATCCACCCAGACGACTGCGGATACCTTGCTCGAATTCTTCAGGCAGTTCGGAGCCGTGTCCGATGCGGTGGTCATGCGCGACCCGGTGAGGGGTCACTCAAGGGGTTTTGGGTTCGTCACCTATGTGGATCCCACATCCGTCGACAAGGTTCAAAAGGCCCGGCCACATACCATTGATAATAAGTGAGTACCATAACCTATACCTAGGTGACTTTGGTTTCCAAATATTTGTTTCTAACAGATTCCATTTTTATAATGGATATATACATATGCACTCACGATTTAATTTTAGATATCTATAAAAAATGTATTAACTCAAAAAATATAAGTTGTTTTAAAAAGATATTTGTAAGTGTTCAAAAACTTAAAATTATGCACCGGTAATAATTTATTATTTGAAACTTAAATTAAAGCAGGATAACAAACATGTTCAAACATGTCACAATTCGATTGAGAAATTTTAAAATATTTTGAAGAAAGATTTTTATATGCAATCTATTCGCATTTTTTTATATTTTAAAATATAATAAATTATAAGAATCCCATAATTTGGTACAATTTGTTTCATAAGACTAAAAGTACTAACATACCTAATAAGAAATCATTCAATTTAAATCTAATCTCTTTCTGATTTAGATCTGTGGAGACCAAGCCAGCTTTGCCACGTCACGAGTTTACCAAGCCAGGAGGAGGTTCAGGTCTTGGAGGTAGTGGACCCGGCGGCGTCAAAACGACCAAGATCTTCCTGGGCGGTCTGCAGGACTGTCACGATGAGAAAACCATTCGCGAATACTTTTCGCAGTTTGGCGCAGTCGTCGGCGTGAAATTGCTGATTGACAAGGACACTGGGCGTAAGCGAGGATTTGGATTCCTGGAGTTTGGAGATCCATTAGGTGCCGAGCGGGCTTTGGGTAAGTTTTCCATATGTTAAATAAACTACCCTACATATTGTATAGCATAAAAGAAACATATTAAAGAATACACCGAAAAAAATAATCATAGAAAAGCAACTATTGTTACATTAATTATACACTATTAAGTATCTATTTATCATCAATAGGATAGGTATTTAATAAATACTAATTTGAAACCTTAAAACCACAAGTATTCATTTTATACTAAACAATTTTATGTAGTTGGATAAAAATAATACCACAAAAATTAAAAAATATAGACTTTTTAGTATAGAAATGAAAATGTAAAGTATAGACTGTATATTATATAGTCTTGAACATATTATTTAATTTATATAATAATAATGAAGCTTTCTTTTTTTTGTGTATAGTTATAATACTTTGTCTTAAGAAGTAAAGGAATTAATTTAATCCCACTTAATATTTGCTTTCATTTCCAGCCCAGAGCAAGCACTCGATCAACCTGAACACGGTGGAGGTGAAGAAGTCCACCCAGAAGCCTGATCCCGGCAAGCGCCTGCGGTTCCCCGTTTCCGGATCCGTTCGTGCCGGCTACATTCCACCGCAGCCGGCCTCTTTGGACAGCTATAGCCGCAACAGCAACTACAATCCGTACCTGGTGCAGTCCGTCCTGCCACCATCGGCATTCATCAATGGTTGGGCTGCCTATGTGACACCTGTGGTGCCACCAGCTCCGCCCGGGCACTACGCAGGCCATCCCAAACAACATCCAGGGCATCCATTCACCGGCTACGGTCCAAATGCCTGGGCCTCTTACCCGAAACCCGGGAAATACGCTGCTCAGGAGTGGACACCCAGCAAGCTGGGCGAATGGCCACCAAAGGCTGGGCACAAGCATGCCCAGACCTCGACCAGCGATCGTCCCAAGAACGATTCTAAGAGCGTCCAGGTGACTCCTTCGGCCACCAAAGTGGATCTAGGTGCCAGGGGCGATGCGGATGGCGGTTCGGGAGTTAAGCTGGGTCCGGGATTGAAGGCAGGAGCATCGGTTGGAATTGGCGCCATTAAGAAGTGGCCCACCGGCGACTACAAGATCTTCAAGCCCGCTCAAGCTCCAGCCCATGACCTCAATCCAAAAATGGGCAACGGGGGCTCACCACCAGCCTATGGTACGTTATTTAACAAATATATATATTAAATATATCACATATCAGTTTTTTACTACGGAGAAATATTGAGCTCTTCTAGGAGTTATGCACTGAAAAGTGAATTTGAGAAATTTGAAGTCACTGGCACTTTTTTTAAATTCACCTTATTTGAAAAAATGTATCTTTTTCAAAATTTAAGGAAATATCGCCCTTGAATTCCGACTCTTCTAAGAGTCGGATCTTCAGAAGATGTTTTTCAAATTTCTAGGAAATTTCGCCTTCGACTTCCGATTTATTTAAGAGCTATATGCACTCAAAAGTGAATTAGAGATATTTAGAGTCAATGGCAATTTTTTCAAAATGCACTTTATTAGAAAAAAAAAATGTATTTTCAGAAGATATTTTTTCAAATTTTAAGGAAATATTGCCTTTGACTTCCGACTCTTCTAAGAGTTATATGCACTCAAAAGTGAATCAAAAGTGAATTAGAGGTATTTGAAGTCAATTGCATTTTTTTTAAGTTCACTTTACTTGAAAAATGTATCTTCAGAAGTTATTTTTTCAAATTTTTGGGAAATATCGCCTTTCACTTTAGACTTTAAATGTAAGGGAGAATTTTTTCAGTGTGCTCATTTGACATTTGACGAAATTTCAAACAAATTTGAATATTTTAAATAATTTACCGATTTTGTTGCTCCCATTTATTTTTATCGAATCTCTTTTATTATTGCAGGCGTCTAATTTGGCGAAAACTGGATCGACGTTTTCCACAATCACATAGCTAATGGTATTTTCCGATTTTTTACGATGTATGCCATACCTTTAAGAGGAAGAATAATAAACAAAACAATACACCGAATTTTTAAGACTTAAAATCGTAAACTCTTGTTCTTTATTTATACTATTTCTGTTTGTTTTTTTCATTTAAAGTATTGCATGAGTGAATTGATTTTGCGTAAATGTTTTATGTCTGAAACGCTATAAAACGCACCACTGAATTATGTCTGGGACTCGGGAATTGGGGATTGGAGAGTGGGAATTTTATCGACTGGCTGTGATTGATTAAAGTTATGCAAATTACTTTCAATTGCTTAGCTTTGTGCGCATCAATTTCAATTAAATGCTGAATGCTCAGTTGTTTTAACACAATGGCAATGGAAATCGGATTCAGTCGCAGGAATCGCCTCGATAAGTAAAAATAAACGTTATATGCATCCTCGTCTCTGTGGTGTTTTCTTTTCCAGATATCTAATCTACGAGTTATTGGTGTTTTTCAGGAGTTATCGCGTTTACCAGAAACGAAAAACAATCGGTCCGATCCAATGTAAAGTTTGTATATATTTTGATAAGTACAGAAGTAGAAATAAAACAAATCATAAGTTTTCTGGTAAACACGCTGAATCTTTGTGGTTGTTTTTATTATTATAATTATTTGTAGTTGTATACATATAAATTAAATTATAATTAAGTGTTTCCTTTTTTTACTCTTTACAAACTGCAGTATTGTGATTTCATCGGTTTACTTAGAAATGAGCATGAACTCGTAATTGTTTGTTTTTCATTACTCTTACATAGATTTAGTTAGTACCTCTGATTTGTATTGTATTGTTGATGCTGTTTTTTTTTTGTTTGTTGAGGGTGTTTACGAAGCACTTCCAGCACTGATCGTTGAGCTAAGATTTGAACACTAACATTTTCGTTTTACAAAAAATGTACTAAAATTGCTTTAGACCCTGTTCACAGTGCTAAAAATGTTTGGCTGTGTGTGTGTTTATGTGTCTGTACTAGAAATAGTTGTAGAAAGTAATTGATTTAGCAATTGATTCTCTAGAGCAGGCGTCGACCAACAAAAACAAATGATATGTTTCCAACGAATCAAAAGTTTTAAGTTTTAACAAAACAAGAATAACTTAGGCAAACATATTTGGACGCCTGCGATAAAATTCAAAAAGTTCTCACACGATTTTAAATGTTTTAGTTCCCCTCTTCGCTTTTCTGCCTTCTCTTCCTTTGCTGCAGCAGTTATATAAATATATATATGTATATTTAGATTTCTGGTAAGTCTAAAAGTTAACATTAAATTATATGAGTTTTTGTTTTATTTATATATATATTTGTATATATTTTTTGTTACATGTTTTGCTTGTTTTACCTTGAGAAAAATGTTAGTAGCTTGTGTTGTCTCGTCCTTCGACTATTATAATAAGTTTTTGTGTGTGTTTTATATGGTTCTCATCTTATTTTTTTGGGCTTTTCTTGATTTTATTTAAAAAATATGTACTAAATTTTAGTTCACAACTGCGTTGGAAACACCAAATCGTTTAAGTTGCTTGACTTAGTTTGGTTTACGACCTTGAACTCATTACACAGAACGAAAAAAGAAGCGAAAACACAGTCCGTCCATCCGTCCGTCCCTCATCATCATCGATTGCATCGACCACGCCCCCGCTGCGGCGCCGGCACCGCTTTTGCCATCACACGCTCTCATTTCAACAATCATTCGATTCGATCCGATTCGATTCGATTCCCTATATAGACTAGCTAGTTAAATATGTCAGTGTCTGCAAATTAGATTTAAGTAGCAAAAGGTTTACAGGCTCTAAGATGCGGCGGACTTCTTGGGGCGCTAAACGACGACGTTGATGCGTTTGTTTTCTGGTGCTGAATTGATTTTCGTTTCGATTTCAATGTTTTATAAGAGGTTTGAGTTCTTGTTCTTGTGTGTTCTAGCTTGATCTTATTTTTGCTTGTTTTCTAACCGCGCCTTACATTTTTCTCGTGTTTACATTCCTTTTTTTTTTATTTTTTAGATTAATTTTTTCAAGTCTTTCTTTTGCTCTTTTTTATTGCATTTTACAAAGGTTTTTCATTTTTTTGTTTGTTTTTTTTTCTGTTTATATCTTTTAGCTAAGTTTTTTAAGTTTTCCCTTTTAATTTCTTCTTTTATTTAGCTTAAGTAATGTGGTTATTCAGTGAAAAAACAAACGAAAATGTGTTGCATTGCTCCTTTCCTTCTTTTCAAAAACCAATTTCTCTCATCTCGCGAACTTAGTTTAGATTTTTGTTGAAAGTGTTTTGCCAAACGATAGCTGAAATTAAAGTTTACATTTATGCTAAGATGGGTGGTGTGTCTTCTGTCTGTTTGTGTGCTTCGATGAATGTTCATGGATGTGCTTGATTGAGACTTAAACTTAATACACGTGTTTTATGGTGAAGGTGATTTCGTGAGCGTTTTGTGGTGGGTGGAGGGTGGTAGAGAGTAGCAGTTGAGCTGAAGCTTTCTTTTTTGGATTCACAACAGAGATTTGCACAGAATTTCGGTATATTTTGGCACGAACTGGCTGGAAAAAGCGAGCCTAACGCAATTAAACTAAGGAGAGACTCAAGATCTTGATGTTATCCTTTTTTTTCTGTTTTAGCTCGACGCCCCGAGTTGCGCTCAGGAACATTTAAAGGACAGTTGACTGTTTTTGTTGCTCCAACTACTTTTATGTTAGTGTGATTTGCGTGGGTCGTGTGTTTAATTGCATGAGATGTTCTTGAATGTAATTGATTGATTGCATTGTGGAAGAAGTCGATGTTTTTAACGTTGGGTTGTTGCTGCTGTTATTGTTGTGGCTACTGCTGCTTCTGCTCTGGCCGATGCTTTTGCATTTGCTGATGTGCTGAGGAATTCCTTTAGCGACGTCCGTAGTTGCCACCACCCGTCTGTCCATTTCCGGCTCCGCGCAGCGGTCCGTTGGACTGGTTGTTGCCGCCACCGGTGCGGTTATCCTGGCGCTGACCGAATCCGCCGCCGCCGCCCAGGCGGGGAGCTCCGTTTCCGCCTCCGCCGCCGCCCCCCTGACGCAGATTGTTGCCCCCGGCATTGTTACGCATCATGCCGCCACCGCTGCCGTTGTTGTTTCCCATCGGACGCGACTGCGGACCGTTGTTACCGCCCAGACGGCCCATGTTGTTGTTGAGGTTGTTGCCGCCAATCGGCTGGCGAGGCACCATGTCGCTGCGCACGCGCGGTTTCTTCTCCTCCACGTTCAACTTCTGGCCATCAGGAGAGTTCTCCGGGAAGTACAGGGGCTATGGGAATGAAAATAATTGGTTTTAGTAATCTCGATCATTTTTTTGAAATTATTTAACAAAGACTTTTTAAATAATATGTAAAAAAACATTATTTAAATCATTAATTTCTTCGAATATATGGATTTTCTGATGTACTCACGCAGTTGGCTAGACACTTTTGCACCGCCTCGGGATCGTCGTAGGTAATGAAGCCGTAGTTCAGCGGACTACGCATGCCCGGCATGACCTTGTTGCCAGCCTTGGACAGGATACGCAGCTCCAGGACATTTCCAAAGCGCGAGAATATATCGCGCAGATCATCCTCGCTTGCGTGGTGCGGGATGTTGCCCAAGAACAGCTGCTGATTATCACCGAACTGCTGCGTGTTGCTCGGACGACGCTGCTCAAAGTCTGAAGAAAATTAAAAAATAAATAAATAGCAAATTAGAAAAGCTTTAATTTATAAAGTAAATATATACAGAATAATATATCGTAGGGGTTTTGTGAACTTATGTATAATTCATTGTCTATACCTATGACGCGTTCTTATAACGACAGAAAAGATTTATGATAAGTCGGCCTTTAGGTATTAAGAACATTAGAATTATACGCTCACAAACTAGGTCTAGTCATTAAATAAATATTCATATATCATAAAGTAACATTATGTATATTTATTTCTTGGATTCTATGCATGTTTGAAAGTTGGTCTGCTGATATGTATACTATTAAAACCTCTAGTGATATTTTCATTTTATCGTTCGAAACTGGTTTAATATCCAAGGCTATGCAATACAAGTTCTAGAAGAATTTCTCTCAAGTCTTATAAAGGGGAACGACCCCATTAAAGTTAGGGGAGGATTGACAACTTACCACCCTTGTTGTTCCGGATCGAGTTGTTGCGCTGCGGCAGCGGACCACCGTTGTCCAGTCGAGAGTTGCCGTTGCTGTTGTTGTAGGACGAAGCGGTGGTGGAGTAGCTAACCTGACCGCCATTGCCGCCGGCCGCGGATGCCGAGGACGAGTTGTAAGTGTTGCTGCTGATCGACTGCTGCTGCTGTTGCTGCTGCTGCTGGAGTTGCTGCTGCTGCTGAAGGGCGGCATTAACAAAGCCGCTGGGCGAGGAGGATGTGGACTTGAACAGATTCGCGTAGGTCTTTGGCTCGTTCTGCTGCTGCTTGGCGGCCTCGTACTTCTCCTGCTGCTGCTGCTCGTGAATGGTCTTGAAGTCCTCGACGGGCGTGGATGGCTTCTGCAGTTGGCGCGGTGGCACCTCGACCTCCTCGGGCTCCGACAGCGGTTGCTGCTGCTGCTGCAAAGGTTGCTGCTGGATGGGTTGCGGCTGCTGCTGCTGTTGCTGCGGGGGCAGCTGTTGAGGTGGCTGCTGCTGGATGAGCTGTGGTGCCACCAGTGGTGATTGCTGGAAGCCCGCACTTGGCACTGGAACAATGGGCAACACCGGGGTGCCGCTTGGCTGCTGCTGCTGCACCAACGGAGACACGCTGGGCGGCACAAGCACCTGCTGTTGCTGCTGCAGCTCCTCGTGCGACACCACTCCATTTTGGATGGGCTGTGGCGGCGGCACAGTGAACTGCGCGGGCAGGGGCACCGCCGCTGCTTGTGGAGCTGGCGGCAAAACGGCCACTGGACGTCCGGCAGCAGCTCCCGCTGGCAATGGGTAGAAGATCGGCTGCGGGGCAGCACCGCCGGCTGCTACAGGAGCCACCTGCTGGGGCACCACGACCTGAGCCTGCGGCTGCGGGGGAGCCTGCTGCTGCTGCGGCTGCTGGGCAACCACATCGCCTGCCACCTGAACAGCTTGGTCCACGGTGCCGCCAACGCTGCCAACCACC